TAATTTCCTTGTTGGATGGATGAACCAAACCTACCATCTTTCGCTTCAGACGCCAATAATGTTCATTAAGGTACTGAGTATCCTATGTACATAATCCAGTTAAAGTAAAGATTATTTGCTTATGTCTTAAATAACCATAGCTGTAAGGATTTTAATTTTGAGTGATAATGATCGTATTCAGTAAATAAACAACCTATATCTGGAGATGTATTAAAATTTTTCAACCATTCAACATAAATTTAATTGTGTCGGTAGCTTACTGATCAATCTGTTTGACTGTAAAGGTAGTTTTTTCTTATTTAATTTACATTAATAAATGAGTGAAATAATCCTTAGAAGACCTAGAAGATATTCTTGGTAAGTAGATAAAAAATAGTTGTCATGCTTTTTGAAGCTAATACATTGTGTTGTTCCACTAACAATTACTTTTTACAGTTATTTCTATTAGTTATTTGGCTAAATTCAATTCTATATTTAAAATATTTTTCAAGAAATACTTCGATCTCTACAAAACCATATAACCTAAGTTATTTTGTATAATGTGTCACTCAATAAAGATAAGTTAAGAAAATTCATTACGTTCAGTGAAAAATGTTGTCTTATAATATATTCTACTTACATGTAATCAAGTCTTTAAACCGAGATATTAAATACATGGCATTAAACAATACTTTTATTGTCGTTCCCTGAATAGGAAGATATAAATTAGTATGATGTATACGGTGAAATACTATTGTATATTTATTAAATCTTCATAAGAACATTTATGTCTATTTGGGTTTCCGGTTTGGAACAATTGAGCTATCCTATTACTAATAGTTCCACTGAGAACTTGATGACCAGTTGGAACACTACAGTTTGACAACTACCAATAAGCATTGAAAATAGACTAAGTACACTGGGAACTTGATATTTGAGCAACTCCTCAGCAGTGCTCATCCATGATTCTTTTGTTCAGAACATTCTTAACAAATTAGAAATCTTGCACAAAAATAAGATTTACTACTGTAATAAATATTCAGCTTGGAAATGGATAACTAGTTTATAAATTGTTTTTAAATTAATGCCTATCAGTTTTGTAAGATAAATGTTAGTTAGCTTGACAATATTTATGGTGGATTTATAAACATAAAAAATGATTGTATTCTGAATATTATCATATTATAGTGAAATTTGAGATATAAGTTACGTTTGTTGAAATTTATCATCGACATATGTCGATATCAAAGTGTTGATGTCAACTCTGATTACACCGCTAATCGCTTTGAAAATGAAAGTCATATTTACTGAGCTGATCAAACACATATTTGACGAGTTCTGAGTTAAATACTCATTCTTGATGTGACTAGTAATCTTTATCACAAAAAATGACTAAACTTTTGATGGGATCCTAACAATATGCCAGCCGAAGTACCAAGGTCACACATAAAAGTAACTGAAAACGTGCTCCACGTTCTATTCAGGAAGATTTGGGAGGAAGAACAAGTGCAACTGAAAGACTGGAAAGAAGGATATCTCATCAAGACACCAGAGAAAAGGGGTCTGAGCAAGTGTGAGAACTCAGCTGTAGAGACATTACACTACTATCGGTACCAGAAAAAGTTCTCAACAGTATTGCTGAGCCGGATGAAAGACTTAATGGACATCCAGCTTCCAGATAATCAAAGCGGATTCCATAAAGATTGGTCGTGCACAAAATGAATTGCCTCACTACTAGTTATCGTTAACAATACGTTGAGTGGAATACGTTACTATACATCAACTTCCTTGATTATGAGAAAGTATTAGACAGTGTGAATGAAAGAACATTATGGAATCTTCTTGGATGATATGGTGCACCTGAGAAAATTATCAACATACAGAACCCATACGACTGACTACACTGCAAATCTGTGCATGGATGACATGTGACAGACGCATTTCAAGTGACAAACTGAGCCAGACAAGGCTGTCTATTCTCCCCCTTTCTCTTTGTTTCTGGCATTTGTCTAGATTGTGAAGACCTCAATATCTGAGGGGAAGCTTGGATGCAGCTAAACGATTTGGACTTCGCAGATTACATAACTGTTCTATCCCATGCACACAAACAAATGGAGGTCAAGAAAACTGGTGTATCAGAAGCCTCCGCATCAGTAGGCCTCCACATACACAAAGAGGAAAAGAAAAATCCTCAAATACATTACGAAGAACACCAACCTAATCATACTTTGTGGGGAAACTCTGGAACAGGTGGAATCTTTTACGTACCCATCTGGACAGCATCATCGATGAACGTGGAGAATCGAATGCAGACGTAAAGGCGAGGATTAGAAAAGCAAGGGTCAAATTTCCTACAGTTGAAGAACATGTGGAACTCAGACCAACGGCCTGTCAATATCAAAGTCAGAATCTTTAATGCGAACGTCAAGACAGTTCTACTATACAGAGCTGAAACTTGGAGAACTACCACAACCACCATAAAAAATGTACAAGTATTGATAAACAAATATCTTCGCAAGGTGCTGTCTGTTAGTTGTATATCATCAGCATCAGCCTACTGTGGGAAAGAATAAACCAGCTTCCATTTGAAGAAATTAGAAAAAGACGTTTGAAATGGATAGGGCATACATTATGGAAATCATCAAACAGCATCATGAGGCAAGTACTAACTTGGAATCCTGAAGAGAAACGAAAAAGAACAAGACCAAAGAACACAGTGCATCGAGGATGGAAAGCAGACATCAGAAGGATTAATAGCAAGTGAAAACAGCTAGACAGGATTGCCCAGCACAGAATTGGATGTAAAATGCTTGTGGGAGGCTTATGTTCCTCAATGAGAGGTAACAAGCGTAAGTAAGCATTCAAGTCTCCGTTTGAGTAGTCGATACTCAGATAGCGATTCTTCAAATTTAGTTTTAAAAATCAAAATGAAAAAATGCAAACCTTCACAAATATTTATATATGGTCAACGAACTGCTAATGTGCAAAATTTTATTAATATCCTCCATACGAATGTACATATACATAAGTGAGAGGCAAACAATCGAATGATTCAGGTTTTTACTATACCTTGGTTCTTTCTCTCGGAGTTGATTTTTGTCATAATAAAACACTTATCAGACAGTAATTGAAAACTAACAATCACTAAAATATTATTTTGATGTTTTTCTGACACTATTCATTCGTGGGTATGTGTAACTTGATATAGAATCAGACTAAAAATTATACGTATTAAAACTAGTATGATATCTTTAGACTCCTAATTAAGAATTCAGCAGATTAAACTTTTCAGTTTAATTATCTTAGTGTCTGAATGTTTTGATACAGTCTCAAACTATCTTCATGACTATTTTTATAGCCATATTCAGTAATCTATGGTTTTGTTTTTGCGATACAAAAAGTGTATTTATTGAAATCCAACAACCATCATTTCAAAAATCAATGTACTAATCACTGGGTTAGCGAATTTGAAAATATGTCTCAATTTATAATATAAATAATAGATGTCAGTAATTATTCTACAACTGCCTTTATTCAGTTTTATTCTTGTAACCATTGCTAAGGTTAATCATTTTGAAAGAAAATTTTATGTTTAGTCTACATTTATAAGTTTAATTGTCATTTAAATTTAAATTGAAGTATTATAAAAAATAGTCAGTTAATTTTACATAACGTTTACTAATTAATTCAAACAATATAGTGAAAATTCTCATTTTGACATTTGGTAAAAAAGGAGGAACGAATCGAGCGAAAAGATTTCTTTTCAATTAGTTTTCCATCATGGCTCTACACTATTATATGTGATTTGCAATAATGAAATAATACTCGTCGAGTATATACGTTGCGTAATAATTACATGATGACATTTCGATTATAAATTGACATCGAGTAATTGGAAGAAGGAGGATTAATAATAATAAAAGTAATTGTCCGAAAATCAAGAAGCTGCTACGTTGCATAGTGTGAAAAAGATAAGGAACACAATATTTTGATGGATGGTCAGTAGAATAGTAGTTATGTAGGAATCGAGAGATGAATGTTGAGAATATGAAAATACAACGTTCAAAAAAACAAAAACAAAATGGAGGAAGCACGAAAATAGTTTACCAATGTTCTGCTACAAACGCCCCTATACCGATGGCCAAGGTAGCGAAAGTGGTTGTACAAACTTCTTTTGGATGCAAAGATTAGGTTTGTGAACATGGATTGCGATGGCCCCAGTAATGTGCAAAAAAACGCACTCGTAAACCATGTGGCAAATTTGATGGAATATGGTAGATAACCTTAAAAGCTTTATTCAGTTCAACTTGATGAGCTGTATCAACCAAGTGAGCGAGAATAGAACTCCTAATTAGTTTTACCTGTTCTTTGCTCAACCACGACGGATGGTGTTCTGTTATACGATGACGGACTTGTCGAATTGTAGGCTCTACATAACTGGTTTCACAGGATCAGTTCAGTCGATAAATACATATGGTTTTAGCGAATTCAGGCAATCTGTCTTTCTTGGCCGTTTTTCTTGTGGGGTAGTTGTAGAAGATGGCACTCAGTCTGGCTGCATTAAATGTTTTCTGTACCACCTTTCTTAACCTGTGTGTTACAATCTCGTATCTACTCATTGAGCATTATTTCACTATTGTAAATCGTATATATATTAGTTTAGAGCCATGATGGAAAACTAATTGGAAAGAAATTTCTTCGCTCGATTCGTTCCTTCTTAATCCAAACAAGAATAATGTTCAACTACTGATTAAATGTATTTGATTTCATTTGTACGAATATCCGTTAATATTAGATTAAATTGTTTTACAAAAATTGGGCTCCGAATATAGAGAAGCCACTATATGTAAAAATTATCTCTGAAATAATCTCAGTGATTGAAATTTAAATAATTTGAACGTTTTGTCCTGTAAAATCGTCTTGACTTCCTCAGGGATGAAATTATTTCAAATACAATTTTTGCATATAATGGTTATATTTCGTTGTTCTATCATAAACTAAAATACATAATTTGTTTTTAGGTATATACTATGAGGAAGGATAAAATTTACAACTTATCCAATATTTCAACGAATGATAATGATAATGATGATGATAATATTTCGTCTAGTTCGTATACAAATTCAATGGATAATACACACTATAATAATTATTCTATTGCTGAATTGGTTAGAAATTATGATGGACTTCAAGGTAAGTTTTCTTTAGTACTTATTCAACAACTGAGGTTGTTCTTTAAATTTCCTGTTTATATTAACTTAAAATTTATATGTTCTGTTCATTCCAGATTATTACATGTAGTATGACATATATATATATATATATATATATATATATATATATATATATCGTATTGTCACTTCAGTGATTAGTTTTATTTCAGTCCATGTCCAATTCACTGATATTGTTATTATTAAATAACATTTTACAAGTTATTGAAGTGTGATAGTTCTATGGTATTTTTGTTGTTGTTTTTTTTACAAGTTTTAAGTAGAACATATTGCGTCTACTAGAACTAATGATTCAATAGCCAACTGACAACTGACAGTTAAATTTTCATCATGAGATTTAAACTGTCCAACTTACAATAAAAAATTCAAAAACAAAACAACTTTTTGAGTAATTATTGTAATTTTAATTCTGTATAACATTTAAGATTTCATAAGTTCTTTTTTGAACCATGTAAACTGAAATTATTGATGTGAAGGTTACACATGCCAATTAAGGCGTGAAAAGAAAATGTCCGTTTATTTATTTCTTTTTTTTGAATCTATTTTCTTTTATGGTACTTTACATGTTAAATTTCAAAAATATGGAAAAACGAGTAATATGTAAATGTATCAAGGTTGAATAATGACGTTTCATTTAACTGTCATTAATAATATAATGACTAACAGTTTTTATGTTTTTAAGATGTTTTTTTGTCTATAGATAGAAATAAAGTTACAAGTTAAACTATGAAATTTCCATACAAGTTATTCGAATATCTTATAGATATTGTAATTAGAATTTTAGTGCATTTGGCTTCGAAGATTCAGTTTGATGTTTACTTAATTAAAAATAGTAATTCTGCTTCTTCATTATTAACTAAATAAAGAGTATCTAACCGTATGGCTGTTTATATTAGTTTGAATAAAGTTTTTTAGTCAGTCTGTTATTTGAAATTTACGTTTACAACATACGTGTAAAATTTGTGTAACTTAGGTATTTTAGAGTCTTAACACTACTATTAGAACTTCTACTCATTATGGATTGATCTAAGGTAGCTTAACGAAACTTATCATTCTAAGCAACTCAAGTTACTTAGACAGTCTTTTGATTGAATCCAAAAGTAATGTAAATATAACATTCGATAAATTATAAATAGAATCCTTTGAATTCAGCCATTAAGATTACGCCTAGGAATCGTTTACAACTAATTAAATAATTCTTTGTGTGAGCGAAATGTGTGCATCTGGCCACACTGAACAACCATTTTAAAATATAATCGTTCTTTTGAAGTTTATCTCTAGAGGTGATTTTATTGTCTTCCGGTATACTTTACAACAATCAGTCAATTTTTTATAGGCTTGATAATATTACATTTTACCATACTCTCAGTCATTGCTAACTCATATGAGTCTATATTTAGATTATGTTATCAGTAACTATGTTAATAAAAATTACCGAGTAATATAATTAAAATTTCATAGATATTTTTTAATGAATATAAATATAAGAAAAAAAGACAACTTACGTTCCAATTCACTTGGTATTGTTTACTTGAATTTTTCCATCAACGTTTAGGACTGCAATTGAACAGTCTGTTATTTGTATATGTGCATACTGTGCGTATTGCCTTGATGTTGCTTTAATCCCTAGTAGTGGATAGCAGTGGAATCCAGCTGAATATACCTGTATCCCAAAGTTGATGTTCACTCTTGGACTCGAACCCATTAGCATTCGCTTCAAACGTTATCGAGTTATTCAAAATAGGACGAAACGCGCGTCCTGGATTCCACTGCTAGCCACTGTCCATCTTTACTTATATTCCATCTGAATTTATTATCAGTAATTCAGTTTCTTTTTGTAAAAAATAAATCTAAGAAAAATTATTAACAGAATAGAAGAAAAATCAAAATTTTTTCGATAGAGCAAAGAGAGTAAAATTTTTGTCTATAAATTAATTGTGTAATGAGTATTGATAAAACAATTAAATCACTTAATGTTAATTACCAAAACTAAAAGAACAGTGAAATGATATTAGTTTATTGCTGGTTAATTTAGAATTATCATTATTATATGTATGGAACATTCTTTTTGACACTTAAATGAAGTTGAATGTTTTCAGCAGATGGTTCAATGTTTATATCAATGGAATCAAACTTACTAGATAGGACCATTATATAAATCTATTCCTTTATTTAAACAGAATTTTTTTTACGATTCGTTCTGTATTACTGTTCTTGTCTTCATGCCTGTTGTAGACCGCTAAAATTCTTAACAGTGTTATACAGTGAACATGTATGATAGACAGATAGAGAACAATGTTTCCAGTAGTGATAGTTATAGTGGCAGAATTACTCAAATAAGTCATTTATATCTCAACAAACGATAAGATCCATTAGCATGAAAGGAAACCAGCACTTTTTAAGGATAGAAAGTATACAAAGTAAATGAGTTTTATTAAGAGATAGCATCCAAAAACAATACCTTAGTGTTGTTCATTTACACAGAATAGTTTTAAGAAGAAGTAGACAACTATTCTTTATAAGTACGAATAAATCAACATCTTTACATTGGGTTTTTCTAAACAACATGATGACTGGAGACTTCAGTTTTGTAACTGCACTGATTACTAAATGACTATATATTGATACACATATTCACTTGTTCGAGCAGTAAATTTAAAATGTAATTTACGGTTAAATATATTTGTCTATGAAGTGTTCTCATGTTTTGAAAAATTATTTAGATTTTTATAAGCAAAGATGGATAGTGGCTAGCAGTGGAATCCAGGACGCACGTTTTGTCCTATTTGAGACTATTCAGCTGAATAAACCTGTATCTCAGAGTTGATGTTCACTCTGAGACAATACCAAGTGAATTATATAGATTTATTTAAATTTTATTGATTTTTTTCTAACCTCTAATTGATAGATTGATTGAAAAAACTAATAGAAATTTTATCATGATAGTAAGGGATTTTTAAAAATAAATCAATACTAAATAAGTAACCACATTAATTTTAATTTCAAATAATGGAATTTTCAGTATTATACTTTTAATTCAAGCATATCACTTTATTCATATTCATAAATTAATTTACTTCATATAAATAATTCAACCATTAGTCAACCCATTTCATATGTGTTTTTATTTATTATTTTAGTTTTTGATTAAATTCAAATATATTCATTTCTAAAGAACAAATAACTATGAAGAGTAAATAAAGAAAAATCAACAGGAAAACAAAAATAAACAATTAGATTAACTAATTTCTATCACCACTATTGATACTATTACTATTACTATCACAATAATTCCTACTGTTTTTAATAAAACACCATGTGATACTTGGATTCTTTTCATTGAAAAAAAGATCAGTTAAGCTTCTTGTATTTTGTTAAAAACAAAATGATATTTTGTTTTGTTTTCTTTTTGGAAAAAAGCCCCACTGAATTTTCATTTTTTTTATTCTATTTTTATGTTTGACTGTTTAAATGGAAAAAAATTACAAAAAAATACCACACAAAAAATTAAATAATATGTGGAATCGGTATGATCGATATTCATTTGTGTCTATAGGAAATTGAATATAAGATTATTCCAAATTGTAATTCAGTAATAAACAGATCATAGATCTATTCCATACACTGTTATATTAATGCTTACTTGTGTTGAACCATTTCCATAAGTTTAAATATTATTTATTCCAGAACGGTTTTTGTGGATATTATAGTAATTCCAATGGTTGACATCATAAGTCCATTGAAGCTAGACCACCGTGGGAAACATGGAAGCACTCGATGGTCAATTCGTCTTATTGTAGGACTCCTCAACAGTGCGCATTCACGATCTCAGCCTCGCGTGATTCGAACACAGGTTCAATCAGTCTTGCGCTCGATTGCTTAACCACTAAACCATTGAGCTAGCCGGCATCCAATTGTACTAATCTCTACCTTCAACTAATCCACAAATTAGCGTCACCGTCCACTATTGTCTTCAGTGAGTTGCTATCTCACAACAGACTCGGTTGAACTCCACTGATCACTGGTTCTCACTATAACTCCAGGAAATTCCTATTGAAGCGAGTCACTAATGAGCATATAATGATTAGTATCAGAATGGATTTAGTAGATATTATAGTAATTTCAGTGGTTGAGATCATGAGTCAACTATGATCAAGTGTTACATGTTTATATTCGGAAAAAAACTAACATTATACTTGTAACTGTAGAAAATAAGAAATTATGAATATTTATTTTATACATGGAATGATAGTCATTTTTAATACTTTTGTTATTATTTAATCTAGTTTTAATTAATATGTTTGAATCTTTAGAAAACTGATTCACTAATACATTTTATTTTTTTTTTTACCAATTTAAATTTCTATTTTTATCCACAATACAAGGTGTCCTGTAATTTTGTCAAAACTAATTACACTTTCTTCCCATATTGTTTAGTTACTTATTCTAATATTTTATATCTTTACCAAAGTTTCAAGTACATTTTAAACATTTATATATATTAGCTATTTGTTCAAATGAAATAGATATTTAATACTTAAATTAACATCAATAGTATATATCATTTGCTTAGTTTTAATTTATTCAATATTTATCCATTATTTCTCATAAATTTATTGTTATTTGAACAATTTAATAAATTAAATGCAAATTCCCATTAGAAAAGTATTTCCGTAAATTTTTAGAAAAAAATTTATGTATCTTAGTGATTTTATTTTTCTATGTAATAGATACTGTAACATTCTATAATAGATAAACATACTTAAGTGAAAATACAAAAACAAAATGTGTTCATTTCATTAGGGAAATATTTTAAGTATTTTTAAATGCTGCCTTAGAATATTATACCTTCGCTATGTATTTAGTTAATTTGTAACTCATGTGTTATTTTGGTGGTACGATTTTCTGTTTACGAAATGTATTAGAAAATATTTATATAAACGTATGTTCTAAAAATGGTCAAGATGATTCATTTACACTGAAATTAATGGACAACAACTTTGTAGCTATTTATGTTATATATATATATATATATATATATATATATATATATATATATATATATAATGTAATATGCAATAACTCGTAGCATCAATACTGCAAAGTCTTCTTTCATGATTGTGTTTAAAATTTTTCGAAGGTTCATCAGATCAAGAAATTTCCATTGATTTCTTTCGATTATTTTACAATTAATCAAAAAAAAATTTCACTTAACTTTACATAGTGCTTTGTTTTAGAAAGTTTCCTTATCTTTATGTACTTATATTTTTTATTCATTTGAAATATTGGCAGATGTTCTAGGAATTT